GACTTTTTTTTATCACATGAGACATACTACAAATATAAAAGGTAATAATTTCTTACCATTCCTTTGTTTATGGATTCTATTAGTAACAGGCATGTTAGTGGTGACAGTAGGTGGTGTAGCACTAGAAGAGTTTACAGTAGCTGCTAATAAAGATGAGAAAGATGCAATTTTAATTTTGCAAGGAGCACATGACAGTTAATATGGATAAGCAATCTATCATTAATTTATGACAATACATGGAGGAGGAATGCAAACTATTTCTTGCCAATAACTACCACAGACTCTAAGGTTATAATGCATAAACTAAAGCGATGCTTTCTACGGCACATTAAGAATCAGTTCACGCAGCCTTTGGTACCACATTGCAAGAGTCTGTATCTGGCATAAAAGGAATGGAGGAAGAACTTTCAGATTCTAGACCTAGGTCTGCCATTAACAGGCTGACAGGCACACAGAGAATGACTGAAATTTTCCAGAACTCAAGTTTCCTAAGTTTGTAAAAAGAAAAAGTTACAGAAGGCAGTCTCGACGGCACCCAACAGCTTGAAAATTATCTGAACTGAGTTAGTTTTCCTGATTCACTGAGCATAGAGAAACAAAATCTCAGAGAAAAATGTATTTCTCCTTGAGAAGGTAAATATAAAGTAAAATTAAAGAGAATAAAATGTATCGACTAAATCAATTATTTAAAGGTCCCAATAACTTTACTAAACAGTGATGGACAAAATGGATTCCATACAGACAAGCCTTCTAGGGCACATTTTTAAAGCATTATGCCATAGATGCACTTCTGCTATTCTTCAGGCTCTCAAAGATTAAATCCTTATGCAGTGCTTTGATAACATTTTTGAAGGAATTCTGAAGGAGCTATACAGGGTGGGGCAAAAAGTAAGTTTACAGTTGTAAGTATGAGAGACAGAGTTAAAATGAAGCTCTAGTAATAATCGTAACTCGCATGTCTTTTTCCACATGAACAACTACAAATCTACTTTTGCCAACCCCTGTATGACTAGGAAAATGCCCATACACGTAATTTTCCTTTAGTTTATCCTAGGAGTACATTTGTATTAAATGTACATTCAAAGTACAAAAACCATTTGTTATGCATCTCTAATGTTTAAAATTACCTCAATTTAAAACTTTTAAGTGGATGCACAAAGAATTACCTTCTAAAGGGTCATTAGACAATACTAAATTCCTTGATTCAAAATATGCATTTATTTCCAAAGTATGCATTCTTAACTAAAATTTTTTTCCACTTCAATGTAATATGTAATATTTAAAATAGGGATTCTTGTTGAAGTCTTTTAAACAAATTATGAACTGTCAGTTACATTTGTCTCAATGCAAAACGCATTGATAAACAGGAAAATGGTTTTTTGGTCACTGAAGACACAGGAGGGAAAAAAAAATAGCTGGGCTTCTTGTCCTGTGACCCAAGGAAATGGAATAATAGGTATCTCAGATTAGAAGAAAAACTACAATAACTAACCTTTAAGAACTTTTACATCTTGAACTAGGCAAAAGTGTTTTTTTTTCTTTCATATAATTACTTTTAAACTACACTGAGTTCATGGAAACTATTTAATAATTTTATTTTCATAAGGTATCCATTGATAACATCAAGGATCATGTCTCAGAAAGGAAATAAGATAATAAGGAAGCACAGCCCCACTCCCACACTGGAAGTGCAGAAGAAACCTTCAGTTCCTATCCATTTATTCTCACTTCTACCCTCTGCCGTGTTCCTCCTAATAAGAGATCCAGCTTTTACAAAGGGCATGATCATGATTCTTAGTGTGGTTTATAGAACATGCTACTTCAAAGAAGTACATAATAGAATGAATGAATGAAAGATGGATCATGGGAAATCAGGAAGAGCAATAATAAAATTAAAGCAAAATACATTATTATATTAAAACCTAAGGGACTTTAATTACACATTATTTAGCATGCAACTGTTTAGTCCATCATATGTAATTGGAATACTGATCATAATATAGTCATTATGCATTATGATTAATAAAATGATATTAATACTAATTCAATATAAGCATTTCATTTTAATATTTGTTATATTGCACATCATAAATGGTCTCATGTCTTTGTCTTAAATTTAACTGAATATTCAATTTAATTTTTCCCCTAGATTTTTATATATTAATCCTTTTTCAAAACACTGTGTGACTGAATTTATACTGGACCTTTGCAATATTCATGAGCAGACATAGAGGGGAAAACATGAAATCAACCCTTGGTTATAATCATTCACATAATCATTCACATCTAAAAAACTCAGTGTTTTATGGAAATGTGGTCATCCAGTATGTGAATGCATTCTTTCTCCACATTGTCCGTCCTGTGCACCCACGCAACTAAAACACATCCAGAAATTCTTCTGTTTTTCTGGCTTCTGGCTTCTCCAAAGAAAGTTAAGATAAAAATTAAAACAATAAAAACTACATTATGCAAAAGAGCAAGGAGAAAACAGAGAGACTCCAGAGGACGATGCTGCTTCCCTACCTTGGCAGAGGGTCCCCAGGTCTGCACAGCTGGCCAGTTCTGCTGCTGGCAGCGGGATTAGGTAGGAACCTTGAGGAACACAGAGGATTAGACAAGTTTGACTTCAGATTTAATGTTATCCAGGAAAAAAATCACAGATCACATGTTTGGTATCATAGGAGCAGCCCTAGAAGAATTCACCAGTCATACTCTATCTAACATTAAGGCAGTCTCTGAAAGTCCTGGTGTCATAATTCCCACAAGTGTAAAGTCAGGTTGTTGAAATAACCCTCAAAACCCTCAACTCAATTTACTTGCCATCCACACATGAACAGAAAAGTCTGTGTGAAAAGTTCAGGGCCTTTTCACATAATAAATTATACAGCTCTGGTGGAAATTCATATAAGTGAAATAATACAAACATCAAAGATAAGTTTCAAAAGTAAACTTGGGTATGAATACTCATAAAACGAACATTTTCAGTTCCTAAGCACTAACATATGCCATATGCAATTCCAGAAATACGTTTCTGGGATTTCAACTTGGTCTCTGTGTCTTTCTATTTCAAGCTTTCGCCGACTCATCCCGAATAGGAAACGAGTTTTGAGCTGATTTTTCTAGTAGGGGTAGTGGGTTCTCCCTGTCACATTAACTCTCCCTCTGACAATGAGCAGACTTTTGTGAACAGGTCGAGGTGAGGGAAGACGGGTTAAACATCCCAAAGCATATTTCATGATGAATGAAGACAGAAGAATAAAAACAAACACACACAAATACATATATTCAATTTTAAAAGGGCATTTCTGTAATAGTGATTCCATTCTAATGTTTAAACATTTTTCTGAACTTTCCTGTGGAAAGGGTACAGGTGAATAGAGCAGTACAAAAGGATGAGCCAGCAAAAGATGTCCAGGAAGATGGTGCACATAAACAGAAAGCTTCCCCAGTTTAACAGCATCTTCGGAGTCACGGTTTCTTCCTTTTTGCCTGCCTCACGCACCTGGCCCAAGGAATCATGTTCCCTCAGAAAGGCCCAGCCCTACAGGCAGTCTGTGATGTTCACTGGCACAAAGCTCTCATGACAGATCTTTACATGCTTATTCAATACAAATTCACTGACTTTTATAGTGAATGAGGCACAGGGGCTCGAAGCATACTTGGAGGTAATGTTGCTGCTCTCAGAGAGGCATCAATGGGAACTGGCCTCACACTTCCCTGACTGATGTGGTTAGTGGCCCAAAGGAGGACGTGACCAGCAGCTCGGTGACAAGGGAGGATGGCACAATCCATTACAAAGAAAAACTGTGAAGAATATGAGGATGAGTCACTCTGTTGCTTACGGGAGAAGAGATGAAGATGGACATTTCTCGCCAACAGAATTACTGAAACACATATACCAAGAAGGCAGTAAGAGATCTGGGAACCCAAGTGACATGGCATTACTGGCTATTTGTAGAACATGGGTAGCAGCGATCAGCTATAGAGGTGATGGACAGGAGCCTTGCAGAGTGCAGGGACACTGTCCTTCTCATGATGGTGTATCCCATCCACATAGCAGGTGGGTGCCCAAGGTTTACTCAATAAATTACTCAATGAATGATAAATAGCTACTCACATTTTAAACTCTTAAGAGAACAAAGTGAGAAAATTAGATTTAAGTTTGAAAACACCGTTGAAGCTCCAAAATCAGTTAAAAAGAGGGGAGATACAAGAAACAAGAATAATACTAATGATTGAGAATTCGTGTCATGCATAAAATGATGGTGGACAGAAGGAGACAGATATAAGACGTTTGAAGATAGAATGCATAGGATTCAGTGACTTTTTGAAACAGGGGAAAAAGAAAGGGAAGAAGATGTTTTTCTGCTTTCCAGTTTGAGATATTGTTACATAATACTCTTATAAAAACGGATAGGAAATACTAGAAAAAGAACAAACTTTGGTGCGGTGGGCTAACCGGTAAGTCCAGTAATGGAAACAGTGGTGTGCCTATGAGACACCTGGGTCCATGGCAGTGGTGCACAATTTTGTAAGAGGTCCAGCCAGGCGGTGCTCCACAGAAGCTAAAGCTGCGTCTGGGACCCTGGAGCTAGAGTGCAGCTTTGAAAGGACACAAGGATGCAACCATTGATATTCCTATATTTAATGCTCTGATATTTTTTAAAAGAGTTACACAGGTGAAAATAGCTCCTGTAGAAGGTGGTTTCACAGAATTAAAATGAAGACAGTTTCGTGGAAGGTGTGGCAATAGCAAGTGAACCAGAAAGGTCAAGAATGACAAAGATTTAGGAGACCTTAAACTTTACACGGGAACTTTGGTAGCAGCTCTCCAGAAATGAGTTTCAGGAGCATGGGAACAGCGAACTCTAGACTGCCAATGTTTGGTTGAGGGGCCAGTGCAAAAAGGAAGCTAGGCTGCGACAGGAAGCAGAGATAGGGAGGGGGGCTTTTAAACACTGAGAGTCCTTTGAAACACTAAGTTTGCTTGGACAAGTGTGCCGTGAAAAAAGAACATTTGCGGAGGCAGAAGTTGAGGGCAGCCTTGGACACAGCTGAGGTAGAATTTTATCTTCCAGGTTTTCTGCCTATTCTTTTTCCCCACACACCTAACTTATGCCCCCTCTTGAGGGACTTCTATTCTCCTATAGGTACTTGGATGTTAGTAAGGAACTCCCAGAAAACCAAAAAGCTTTCCAAATTTACAGTGACCGAGGAAATGTCAGCCAGTGGAACAAGCAAGAGAGGAGACCCTTGGCTGGAGAGTTCCTGTGCTTCTCAAATTGCGCAGGATGTTGGCAGGCAAAGGCTCCCCAGGCCACGGCTGGCGCTGAGACAGTATCTCAGGAGACAGAGGGAGATAAGGGGACATTGTTGTGGGAAAGAAGTTTGACCGCTAACCCCATGTCCATGGCAGTGTATCAGTAAGCTTAGAGGTAGGAATAAGGAAAGAAAACCAGAAGAGTTATGTTGTTATAGTATGATATTTGACAATTTTCTTTAACATTTTGTCAGTGTCATTTATAGTAACAGGTATAAATTTCAATATGTGACAAACTCTTCTTGGGAAATTGTAACATTTACTTCTTGCTACTTAAGTTGTCCCTTGTTCCTCCTTAGGCACTTAAAGTTTAGCAAATGGACACTATACATACTCAATAAAGAGTATTTTATGATGATTCATATAGCAACAGATATTAAATTTGGTGATTTTGGGGGAATAGTATAAATACAAATGAAGAGTCTTATTAGAGGGAAATTATTTTGAAAAAGAAAATCTTATATTACAAAAACACCAAATTATATAAATACTTAAAATATAAAAAGTACACATAATTTTAAAAATTCTAATGAGTTCCATGTTCAGCATATCTGCATAAAAAGTCATTATGACTATCAATTTTCCTAGGCCACCAGATTTACAAACCAGGGGATCATTAAGCAAGGGGAGCTCTCCCTCTTGGATAAAGATATCTTTATCATCAAGGAATTGTTTTCAGAATGTAACCTATGTATGTTCCCTGATTTTTATAGATAGCACAAAGGTGTTTAAAGGTATTTACTTAATATTGACTACAAAATTTAAAGCCAAATTTCTTTGAAAAAAATGTCATCACTGAAAACAGGCAGTTGATGAGAAGCTGTAAATCTTTCTTTTCCATCTGTTTTTCTTCTAAAATTATGCTCCTCAAAGGAGTCACTACTTATTTACATGAGCTGTGGGGGAAAAGCCTGCTGTGTGGCCAACAACTCACCTCATACTCTATTTAATCATAATCTGAGTAACAGTAAACAGCAATGAACCCTTAGCATGAGTTACAATGGGAAAAAATAATCTCTTTCGATTCTTTTTTTTTACAGCTGTGCTAAATTGAATTTTACAATTTGTAAATAAATTGATTTCAAATAAAATTATTTCTGAGAGCCATTTATGCACATAAAGAGTTTAAGCATATCCAAGTAATAAAATCTTTTCTAAAGATAAAGTGACTTGATCTTTATGGTTTATATACAATTTGGTAATCTAAAAATGTTGGTTGAAAATTTTTTAGGGATAAAAGAAAGGAGCCAATAAGGAGTCCCAGTTTGGGGGCCACGAAGAACAAAACTGTAATAACTGAAATCCAAGAGTGGATGACGCCTTAGTAATTAAGTACAAAATCTTGGCAGTGAAAACATTAGTTGGTACAAATCCAAACATTCCTAAAAAAGAATAACAACGAAGGTGGATACTTACAAATTGTGTCTTATCACGATAACCACAGTGGCTAATAGATGGAAGTGCTTATTAATGCTAGTTAAATAGATGTAATTTGTTGGAACTTAGACCATTCATTGAGTCACACTGTGTGACACCTCAGGAAAGAGCGGTCGGCAGTAAGATAAGTAAAACTGGTAGAGAAGGCATTGTCCTTTCTTTGTGAGAATTGGTGGACACCAGCCAGCACCTGAGCATGAATCATAACACAGGCAAACACTCGCACCTATAATTAAAGAGTCCGAGAAGAAAATTGTCTATCCGTGGAGGTCATAAAACTGAATATGTTTACTAAAATTGTTCTAAGAGAAAGAATGATGCTATATAATAAAAAGAACTGCTGCTAAATAAAGCATTTCATTCTGGAAAACACTGATAAAATTAACCATGTTTTTAAGAAAACCTATTGAAAATGTCTTAATTGAGGTATATTCCCCAAGTGTGCTTAGAATTGTCTAGGAAAACAAAGAAGTCCAATTCTAAAATTGTTGAAACATTTCTTGATTTTATGGAGGCTAGAATAGTTCAGATTTGAAACTACCAACAGGATGTTTCAATGTAATTAGCTCTGTCCTACTATCTAGGAAAATTTACTTAGTGATAGACCTTTAGAAAACTCTGTTCATTTTCTATCACAAGTTGATTCTGAAATAAAAGTTCTTATTTAACAGGCATTGTCAGGCCGATGGAATGTCAGGCATGAAATTCTATTTTCCTATTGGTCACTGTACTGAGCATTAGTTGTTGGAAAATACTAGCACCAGAAACAGCAAGCCATGACATCCTGGGAAAGAGAAAAGGTTAAAATGTTAATAGAGTGTACTTTTTTTTCACTTACTGAAGTTTTGCTTAGCTAATAGGCTTAGATATAATCTGCGTTACAGGTATTTCCTGGCAGTTAATAAGTGACTTGGTTCTTCAGCTCCCGAAGCTGATGATTAAACGGCAGGAAACTCCCTCACCCTCTCCTGTTATGACTCCTGAAACTTAGTCCAGGATATCTGAATCTATGGAACGCGGGTGTTCGGTGTCACCTTGGAATGTCAGGAAGACCACGATCGAAGTTAAAGGAATTCAAATCACTGATTAGGTAAGCTTGTGCCACTCCTTGGAATGAAATCATTTTGAAAATTTATAGATGACTGTGCTATGTGAGCACGTACCTGATGTATTCCAGTAATCTTAAGGCTTGGGAAAGGAGTTTTAAAGGCACTATTTAAAACAACTGAAAAAAAGAAAAAGAAAAACTCATGGGCATGGCTGTGTTCCAGTGAAACTTTGCGGAAACAGAATGCTGCCATAGGCCCTCTCAGTTTGTCTACCCTGGTCTGCAGGATTTCTTAGAGAGATTTAGGGGTTCCTGTACAATATGTCCCTCAAATTTTATTATATTAAGGCATCTAAGAATCATTGCAGGGAAGAAACCTTGTTAATTTTATTTAAAACAAATACCATTTTAACACCCCGGAAGGCTGGTGTTTTCCCATGGAAAGCTCTCTGGCTGGAAGAGATGGCTCCTGGACCTTCAGAGTTCTCACCTGGGAAAGAGTTAGCCCACCTGCCCTAGTGCTGCGTCCCATTTTCCAACCCTTCTCATGCTGAAGGGTGGTCTGAGGTATCCTGATGAAGAATGAATGGCTCCAAAACCAAACTTTCTGGGTTCAATTCCTGACTTGGCCACTGATTCACAGAAGTGACACTGGTTAAATTCCTTAAGCATTCTGGGCCTCAGATTTCTCTTCTGCAAAATGAGGTTAATGATGAAACCCACACTGTGAGAGCTACATTGCAGAAAAGGAGTTAGCCTGGCTGCAGTGCTCTCAACAGCACCTGGAACATAATATGCACATTCGATTAAACTATAAATTAAGTACTAGCTATTATTCACATACCTACCTAGCCAAATTCTTTTCTCTTTCTTTTTCTTTCTTTCTTTCTCTTATTCCTTTGGTTGCCAGAGTGCCCCACAAGGAGACAAATGTTGAATGGTCTGTATTAGGACTTTTCACAATGACCGAGGACTTGGTGAAAACAGGCCCCTCGACTAAGGATGTAGGCTGTGTACCACTGCCTGCTTCTCCATTTCACCAGCCCACACCAAACCCACACACTTGACCTTCTCAATTTCGTCACTGAGTAAAAGGCTTCTCGGGAATCCCTGAAGGTGTTCTGTACCCAATCAGACCGAGAGGAGCCGGGGAACACCATTAGCTCTTACAAAGTTCCACAGTCTCCTTCTGGAATGGGGTCGTGGTTTACCTTCTTTTCAACAACCCACAAGGAAATAGCTCTCCAGTGACATCACTTAGTAGCCTCCCAACATCTGCAGGAGTGTTGTGACCACATGGAGAAATGGGTTACCCACACAGAAGGGCAGATGACAGCAGTTCCCCGGGCCACAAGGGCAAATGCAGGTCACAGGGACTGGGGAGGTGGCCTCAGGTCTTCACAAGGGGTCCTACTTAGTTCAAAGTATTGGGAACAGATTTCTGACAGAATCCGCTCCAAAGTTACACACAAATTACATTTTAATATTAGGCCCCTTCTTCTATCCTTTAATGAGAATTCTCTCTGTGACTAAAAAGTATATAGCATCTACACCTTAGATTTGGTCATATAACATTCAAAAGTGATGATGAAACTTTTACATTTTGTGTCTGATTAGTCCTGTACTAAAATAAGGACTTCTGAAATTGATTTATGTAACTAGAGAATATTTGATAGATGCCTCTTTTAATATAATTTGTACATAGAATTATTTCTCTAAGCATTTTTGCATTTAGCTACTTGCAATACTGTCATGCTTAAAGGCTCTCAAAATGCAATCAGAAATAGATTATTTGAAACAGATGATAAAGTTCATTTTCAAACAAATAGAAATAAAAGTTCAAAGAAAGCAATGATAATTTCCGATTATCAAAGATTTTCCTTAAATGGACAGTTGTGATCTTTAATACCAACTGTTTTTAGGTAGTGGTTGTTTATTTAAATAACATAATGGAAATTTCATTCCAGGATGATAAAAATCAGCTTTTAACTGTATCACCTATGTGATTAAAAACAATACCATTAATTTCTTTTGCTTTCGGCCTGGAATGAACAGTTCTATTTGAGACATGATAATTACAACTATAGTTTGTTGGTAGTAAAAACTGTGTGATGGTTTATGACATAAATAAAACTTAAAAATGGCAGGACCACAAGCTTTGATTGAAAAAATATGGCTTGTAATCAAATGCCTACATAAATAGCTGAGCAGATAACATTTGAAAAATAAAAAGAGCTCATTAATGCTAACTACCTATATATACATACACATTCACATGTACACATGCATATTACATACATATGTAATTATGTATGTATACACATATATGTAATTATATACACATGAATGTATGCATAATTTTTTGTTGACAAACATATTCATAGAGCAATGCTTCAATCAAAGAGTTAATACGCCACAGACTCACCACAGCTCAGGTTGCCTTCGGCTTTCAGAGCTGCCGTTGGGATATTCCAAAAGTCGTTCTGCCAGTCGACCACATTCCCCTTCACATTACAGCTGAGGTTGGAGAGCGTTTTGGAGTCCATGGTAAAATTCCAAAGTCGAAAGTTATAAATGTCCCCTTTTAGAGAGGCAAATTCAATTTGATCGGAGCCCAACAACAATTTCCCATTCCCAAAAATAACTTTATTGATGGTAGAATTACATGGAACTGCTTCGTAATTTCTTTTGAAACTTACACCCACAGAGCCCAAAGAATTATTCCAAACAATGCAAAGCTGCTCGAAGCTTTCTGTGAAAATGTCTTCTTTATCCTTTACAGGTAACGCGCTGTTTAGCAAGCATTGTGAGCCAGACAGAGTTAGAAAGTAGCCATTCTTGGCCTTTCCAAAGCTGAGTAACTGTGTGAAGGATGCATTTGAGTAGGAGAAAGCCATCCATTCGCCGTCTTCCTTGCCAATTTTGTTTGCTTCAAAACAGAGTGTGAAAGCACTGAGCTCCGGAATGGAGACACTTTTTGCAGTGGATACCTGGTATGTATCTAATGTCTGGGGTAAAATGACCTTTTGATTCCTTAGGGACACGGCAACTAGGAGAAAACACGATAACAGATAAAACATGTTGACCTCAGATATGGACTAGTCAGATGCAAAACATCTGATACACCCAGCCCCTCCACCACTCTACCAATTGACTTCTGCCCGCCACTCCCCTCCTTCACTAGACCCTCTATCACTACTGCGTTGCCTTACACAAATGATAATAACAGCAAAAAGAAGCCCCATCCATTTAAACTCTAATCATGGTTGGATCTCACACCTCAACCTTTGAGGTACAGTCAGCCAAGTTAATAACAAGTATTTTTCTTAATCTTAGAACTGAAAAACAACAAACCACAATTAACAACTAACAGTTTCAGGAAAGCTCTACTTATACGTAACATTTTTGAAAATATATGTGACTTTCAAATAATTCCTAAATATAATAACTAGTAATTCTATTTTTGATTAACAATTGCCTTTCTCCCTTCAGACACCCCATACCTTACTCATGTTCCCTACCAGGACGGTCATTCAGGAACAAAGGAAAGGACAATTCCTCTGAGGAGAGGGAGTCTAATACAACAAACTACAAACATGGAATTTTAAGCTGTATTTCTGGACTACAGCATTTTATTTCCTTGATGTTTGAGCTCGTGGTTGGGAGGGCAGAAGATGGAACTCCCATCCCAGCTCTTCCACTGTGCCATGTGACCTTGGATATGTTCCTCACTTTGCTCTGCTCTAGTCTTTTCATCTGCACATTGAGGGACAATGGCACCTATGACACAGGTGCTCAACAGGAGTTAAGTAAGTTAATACCTGCAAAGCACTAGGGAGGTGCTTCTGCATAGTCTATCTGTAGCTTGTATTGATTACTAATATAGATTACTACTATTATATGCATAAAAATCCAAAATAAAAATACACTAGCCTATTCCTTCTGAACATATATGAAAATACTAAATGATACAATGGATTTTGCCCTATGCTAATACAATAGACATTGTGAAAGATTATGAACTAATTTGAGAGAGAAGGAGCTCTCCTAAAAAATACCGTTTAATACTGGTTTCATATGAAGGCTAGTTCAAATATATTTTAATACATACCAAAATAGGTCTATGGCAAAAACGTCATTTTAAAATAAATATTCTAGTTAAAAGTCCATGATGGAATTTAATAGAATTATGTATTTTAGTGTACTTTTATAATATCAAGCAGTTTACAGGTCTATTGACCTAAAATGATCTTATGCAGTATGAACCCAGTGCTCTACACATGTTGTTAAAATAAAAAGGCTAGAAAGAAGTATGTCTCTCAGTCGTGTATTAGTGGTTATGGTTGGGGATATACAAATAGGTAATTACAGTTTGCTTCTTTTCTATTTTTGAATTTCCTGTAATACTTTATAATTTTAAAAAACATTATTTGAAAAATTAAAGCATGTGTTTCAATTAGCCACACAAATATCTATTGTCAATTACAAACAGTAAAAACCCTGCTACCAAAAACACAATTTATAATGATGAGAGTCATTTTCATAGTGGTGCCTTTTTTTGTTTCTTTTCTTGATACATGGCATCTACTGAAGTCCTGGAGAAAAAACTGTGGAACTATATCTCAGTTTTGAAGCTTGAGTGTTCCTTAAGCAAAGACAGGTTTTAGAAAGAATAGAATTATTGAAATGTTAAGATATGCCAGAATCTGGGAAACATGTTTGATTAAAATATGTTTTCTTTCCTTCAATTGCCATTTTTCAAGAGACTTTCCTCAGGGAATGTTGTTTATTAGCTTAAGTTAGAAATTGCTCTTTTAAAATTTTATGCTAATTTTCTATATTTGTCCCCTTCCATGGTTCCTTGAAAGGGCAACATCTTGAAAGCCTAAAATAAAATGATTTCTAAATAGAAATGTTTTAAACATCCAATGGAGAGATGCTAAAATGACAGATTTTAATCATTAGCTGTGGAATATCTAGTATCTTCCAAGTAGCCTTTAAATGTTCTGCATACAAACAATATAAAAGAATTCAGCTCTACTGTAACCAGATTTTGGATCTGGTAGCTGTATACTGCTAATGAGAATACTCAGAGAAAATTAACATATTCTTGCCCTTAAATTCTAATCCTAATCATTCACATGCACATAAAAGATCACAGCTCTGTCTGCTGGTCCCGTGTTTATTGCAGAACATGTTAAATGAAAGCAGAAGCTTGGCACGGTCTTTGGTTTACATACCTCGGATGTAGCTGGCATTGAAACCTTTCTTCTGGATGCTAAAGTCACTTGAAAAGGACACATGCATCTCATTCACACTTGAGTTAAATGATAGGCCTTTGGCCGTTGCTCCACAAAATTTAGTCTGGCTTTCTCCATTATCCAGGGATAAATAGTCATAAATGCAATTGGGAGCTTCTTCAATGTCGAAGTCATTAAACGTTATCTGAATGACGTAGCCGGTGGGGGCCCGGAGGGTCCACATGCAAGACTGGACGTTAGGGTAGTCATTGGGGTAGCACGGAGAAGTGAAGGTCCCAGAAGGGTTGGACAGCACGAGCCTGCAGTTGGCACATCCCCACACTGTTGGCCAGACAAAAGAGAGACAGAGAGAAGGGCTGGGATCAGAGGCGTATAAGAATCCAAAAATATCACATACTGCGGACAAACTGTAAACATTTTAAAATACCAAAATATCATCAAGAAAATTAAAAGGAAAATAAAAACATCTCAAAGAAAAAGACGCACTGATACAGCAACAAATGGTAAAACAAAAATACAAAATTTCAAAGCAACTATTCTTAAACTTGGGGTAGGGGGCTCATATCCTTTGGGAATCTGATGAAAGTTATGGGAACTCTTTCCAGTGAAATGCACAGAGTCCATGACACTTGGCATACATTTATGGAGAGTGCATGAGGCCTCAGGAGGCAACAACGGATTTCACAAATCTTCACTGGCCTCAGCTAAGAATCTCTGGAGTAACTGAACTGGGTTCGAGGGGATTACAGAACCATACAAGTACAACTCTATTTTAAACCATGACTAAAAAGAAAGAGAAACACTTAGCAAGCAAATGTTTAAAGAGAAAGCAACCAGACATGGAATTGCTGGGTCATAAAGTAGTTCTACTTTTAATTTTTTGAGGGACTTCCATAGCGGCTGCACCAATTTGCATTCCTACCTACAGGTAGCCAGTGTTCCCTCTTCCCCATCAATAGACAATCGGATAAAGAAGTTGTGGTGCATATATACAGTCCGATATAAGAAAAGAATGAAATCTTACCATTTGAGACAACATGGGTGGACCTAGAGGGTATTACACTCAGTGAAAGAAGTCAGACAGAGAAAGACAAATACCATATGATTGTGCTTACATGTGGAATATAAAGAGCAAAATAAACAAACAAAACAGAAACAAACTCATTGACACAGAGAATAAACTGAGGGTTGCCAGGTGGGAGGAGTTGAGGGGATCACTGAAGAAGACGAAGGGATTGAGAAGTACAAATCGGTAGTTACAAAACAGTCACAGGGATATAAAGTACAGCGTAGAGAATACAGGCAGTGATATTGCAATAACCATGTATGGAGCCAGGTGGTACTAGAATTATTGGGATATCACGTCACGAATTATATAAATGTCTACCCACTGTGCAGTACACCTGAAACTAATGCAAGATAATATTGAATGTCGATTGTAATTGAAAAAAATTAAAAAAGAGAAAGAAAGCAACCAATACAAACAAAAATTAACACGTTATCTCCTGGCAGTTTGCAATCTTTTCTAAAATTCAAAAAAATAGTATCACCCTGCATGTGTGGAATACCGATAGTTTTGAAAGTACTTTCATGTATCACATTGGTTTTTTACAGCGTGTAATTATATACTTGTGTGATGATCTCATTTGTGCATTCATTCAGTGAATACTTATTGAGTGCCTGGTATAGTTAGTATATACCAACAAACAGGGAAGATTAAGTCTCTGAATGATTCTTACATTGCTATTTTGGACACAAAGATAAACACATATTATAATGACAAATGGTAATAAGAAGTAGAGGAAAAGTAAAGCAGTCAATTACTTCTCAATTATTACTTATCCAGGCTTTGGTTATCAGGTAGAACCAGAAACCAAGGTCCACTGTTTTCCCAGCTAGTAATGCTTTTGTAATTACATTCATACTGCTTCTAAATATTCGTGTAAATATAGACAGTAATCTCATTTATCCAGCATTCTGGATAAAGAAATTGCCATAAAACTGACATATATATTTTCAAACAATAAAGTCCTTTTACCATGTTACTATAAATCACTCTAAATTTGTTGTGTTCCTCCCCTTTTCACGAAATTGAGTGCAATGAAAATGCAGTAACATGCATTTTCTTGAAAATGGTAGTTACAACAAATATTATTCTTCTATATATAGTGATATATTCAAGGACATATGTGTTATGCTACTTGAATTAAGTTTTGCTTTTTACTATTCCCTGTGACCACCTAGTGTCATGCACTGTTTGTGTCCTGCACTAGTTTTGTGTCGTGCACTGGTTTTGTGTTGTGCACTGTTTGTGTCCTGCACTGGTTTTGTGTCATGCACTGGTTTGGGGTCCTTCACTGTTTTGTGTTGTGCACTGGTTTTGTGTCATGCACTGCCTTGCCAACTCTGTTCCCCATCAGTTCTTTCTAATGTGCTCTCCTTCTGTTCTGCTTCCCTGAGCCTCCAACACCTCGTAGAGGCCTGAAGACAGCCAGGAGAAAACAGTTTATGATCGTCAAGGGTTCGCCCAATGCCCCCCTCTCAACTGCCCCCGGCTGTCGTGCCCCTCTCCTCTGTAGCACTGTCCAGAGTGGTGCGTTACTTCCATCTGTGAGATTGTGTGCTTATCGTGTTTCTTTTCCCTCTAGTCTCTACGCTCAACAAGCAGATAGCGTGCACTGCCACACTCCCCATCTTACTCCTTGTAGCGCCCCTGACACATAAAAGACCTTCTATAAAATGGGTTATATACAAAGGGAGACCCAGGAAACCTGGGATTTATTTATTAAAAAATGTGTATTTATTCTTACATGTTGAAACTTCAGTCACCTTCCAAGTAGTCTCTATTTGATGCAATACACGTAATTGAGACTTTTTTCCCACCACTCAAAACAGTTTTTGAACTCGTCAGTTTGGATGCCTTTTAGTGCTTTTGCTGTTTTTTGTTTCACCTCTTCCATGTCTGCAAAACATTTCCCTTTGAAGACTTTTTTTTTTCCCATGGGAGAAACAAAAAAAGAGTCACTTGGGATGAGATTGAGTGAATAGGGAGGGTGGGGCAGGTACGAGGGCCATGTGTTTTTGGTCAAAAACTGCTGAATGCTCAGTGTAGTGTGGGAAGGTGCACTCAGATATCACCCATCATGAAATGGGCAAAGGCACTGAAAACGTCTTCAAAAAGATTCACTGAAGGCAAACAGCCTCTTATGACAATGCCAACTGGTACACTGATGTATATGAGTTCCTAGAACACTCACCTAGCAGGGAAGCCTGTGCTACAAAAGGCCCACCCTCCAGAGGATAATTCTGGCTTTTGGGGGGTCTCCCCTCGTATGCACAACCCACAGACACAGACAACAGTGTGGTGATGGCCAGAGGGAAGGGGAAGACAAGGGCTGGGTGGAGGTGGGCAAAGAGGGGAAAATGGAGACATCTGTAATAATGTCAACAATAAAAAGAAAATTAAAAACCTAGTTAACTTTATGAAAAAATTAGTTTAAATGAATGGGAAGTGCCTAAAGTGAAAATGACGAAGTACAGTATATGAACCTAATTCAAACAAAATCTAAATCTAAATAAAAAGATAAGGGGTGTGTGAGTTCTGCAATATCTGTTTAGATGGGGTTGGGGCTCTTCCTTTCAATTACTTCACTCATAGCACGGGCCTCAGATGGATGGACCTCTCCGATTCGGTTAGCTTCCCGCTACTGCCCATGAATCGGCACTAACCCATCCAGCACTATGCACTAAAGATGACAAAGAAAACCAGAAAGGAAAACGAGATGCACTCTTTGTGTCATCCCGGCGTGTGTGCAGGCAGCATCATTTTCCCAAAAAGAGCAACGTTTCCTACATCCAAGACCAAGGGATACTCATGATATTCTTTCTCATGGTGTGTTGTTTTTGCCAAAGTCTGCCCTAAGAATTGAGTGAAAGGTGTGGGAAAATTTAGTTTGACTGGTAACACTGACTGTAATTTTGAACAAGTTCATGGTTCTGTGCCTCAGTTTCCCCAATTTTACACCGGTGG